GCATAAGCGCCTGCCTGACAAGTGCAAAGTTCTGAGTTCAATCCCTGGTACTAAACAATGAAACAAACAAGCACAGTTTCTTAAAATTAAAGCATGAACTATAATTAAAACAGCTTTCTCTGTCTCATCACTATTATTGTTACTTTAAAGTTAAGGTTAGGATAATATTCTTCCATTGTATTGTATGTTGTTAATGTAGCTATAGATTTCCCTTAACACTTTTTTTTGTTTTCCTAATGTAAATTGTTGAAGAAAACAGGTAAATTTTCCTGTTGCTTTCTACAATCTGGATTTTCTTGATTGCATCTTTGTAATGTTGTTTCTGAGTCAGATCTAGTGACTTTGTATATGAATACTCTTTTTTTTTTTTAATTTTTTTGGCAAACTACTCTGTGATCTTCCTACGGCATGACTCAGGAGGGTATTGAATAATATTAATCTTTTTGCTCAGTGTTATTATTAATCCTGATAACATGATATAGAATTTGACAGTTGTGTAATTCTTTTTTTTTTGAAGGTTTTGGTTGTACTTATTTATTGTACTTTATTTCTTCAATAAGCCATATTTTAATGGATGCACAGTGCTTTACTTGGCATAAATTATGATTTCTTTTAGAAATAATCTAGCTGTATCATATCAGCTGGCATGATTCCTGATCTCCCTGTTCTTTGAGGGTGACTCTGCCAACAGGGGAAAGGTTCCATTCTCTTCCAGTTTGTGCTGCTGTATAGGTCCATGCAGCAATACAGAAAGTGGCTCCACCAACTAATACTGCATTACCACATTTGTCATGGAAATGAGGTGTATGTTTCTGGTGACTCTGCCTTGCTGCCTTTTGTTGAATGCATCAAACTGGAAAATGACCTAATGCGTTTTTTGGCCAAGGGAAGCATCGTAGAGCTAAAGTTGAAACTAGTTACTGCAGCTGCTGGTGCAAATTACTTTCAGATACCCTTGCTAGGCATGTAATTATTTAAAAGTTCTGAAAAGGATTATTTTATAGTATATTCTGGATTTTAGAAATTTTTGAAAATGTGATTTCTTTCATTTACCAAAAATGGTAAATTCCTCATTTACCAAGCTCTTTTCATAACTGATAATGAAGACTGCTTTATTATGGGAAAAATTAATTGCTATCTCATGGTGTAACAAAGCATTCTTAGATTTTCTAAATATTTATTTTTTTATTTATTACATTTATTTATTGTGTGTGTGTGTGTGGCCAGCTCAGCCCACCAGGGGGCAGGGCTGGCTGGCATGTGGTGCTGGAGGATCGAACCGAGGTCCCTGTGCTTTGCCAAGCTTGTTTCAAGTAGGTGCTAGATTTTCTATTACTTCTCACCATCATAAACATTTTGCGGAGATTAATCTCTGTATACTTGAAAGATGATCCTTCAAAAAAGAAAGCAGAATTTTGGATGGTTATGTCTAGTAACCTAAACAACTAATTTGAAGGTAGCATCATGCAATACAGCAACCATTGCTTTTTTCTTTCTTTCTTTCTTTTTTTTAAGGAAGGAAAGGTTTATGTAACTTACAATTTGGAGAGCTTTCAGTCTGTAAGCCGCTGGCTCCATGGAAGGCAGCGTGGCACAGTACAGGGGCAACGGCTCAAAGCAGCAGGAGACAGCAAAAGCATGGAACGCAGGAAGCCCTTTGCCTCCCTCATATTATATGCAGGCTATGGTCAGTGCCCTCCTCTGGCACAAGCTTGAGATGTTTATGAAGTGAGGACCCTGGGCCCCTGCTGTGTTAAGCTTCTAAACTTCTCAAGTTGACGCAGTGTATCAACCATAGTAGGATAAGTCTTGGCACTGAAGAAACACTCACTAAATGAAAAGGAGCCTACTCCTGCTCTGACCACCGGAGCCACAAGCTTTGTGCTCATACTGTACAAGCCAGGGACTTCCTATGATCCCGGCATATGGATTTTCTTTTATTTCCTTCCCTTGCACATAAAATAGTAGTCTAAATTATGTATGGTGCATCTAAACAAATACAATAACAGCCATTGTTGAGTTCCTATTACTTTGTATAGTGAAATTTTGTGTTGTTTCTGTTACTGTTTTTCTTATTGCTATTTTGTATTCTTTTAAAATAAGATACATTAAAAAAAAAAAAAAGCAGAAAGCCTATTCAGTTATTTTAGTGTTAAGGTCTGTTAAAATAAAAAGTTACCTCTGTATTAAGGGCTGAAGAGGAGGTTTGCCTTGACCCAGAGCTCTTTACTCCTTTATAGGGTGGAGAAATACTTTTATAATGTTGGATCCTTTTTCATTCAGATATTACATGTTTATTATGCTTTTTGGTAATGAATCTTTCTACAAAGGCTCATAGCTCAGGTTTGGTTTTGTTTTCCTTGTTTGTCTTAAGCACTGCAGCAGCACCTAGCAGACATTAATGTGGACGGACCAGAAAATGGCTATGGTCATTGGATTGCTAGTACCTCAGGCTCAAGGAGCAGTATCAATTCTGTTGATGTAAGTGTATTTGTATTATGTGTCCCCAGAGTTCAATCAGTTCCCAGAAAAGTGATAGCTACTAAATCCCCCGTAAGATAAATGGAGTCAAAATATTTCAGACACAGTGGGAGTCTCATTTTGTGATGTTAATGAAATCATGGAGGTAGTATGCACTACTGAACTAGCTGAAGCTTTATTCCAGGAAGCTGCCTGTTAGTTTGGACCAAAAGAATACTGAGGCTCCTGTTCACATCTCTCACACACTATATTTATACTTCTTTTCACCTCAAATTTACGTGATTTGGGCTTTGGTTTAAATTCACACAAAAATGGTTCAGGAAAAGGAAGATAGGAAACAATGGCCGGTCCTGCTATATTTCACTTGTAGTTACTGAGATGTACATTACTGCAGAGGTTTGCTGTAGTGGATAAATCCATTTTTCTGCTTTGAAAGTATTTGGACAATAAGTCTTTCATAGTTCCCTAGTATTTCTTGTAGCTTACTTGAATGTCATTGAATATTTTCCTTGATAGCAGTTATATACCTAGTTTTTATTTTAGTGAGACACAATTTCATAATTTTTATTCTGTAAAACAAAATAGACAATTGTAAACAGGCTCATGGCTACTAACTTGGGCTTGTGCTCTGTGATCCCTGGGTCCAGGTTTCATCTCTAGCTTCTTTTTTACCTATGCAGTAGATGATAGTAATAGAATCTTCCTCATAAGAAGGTTGAAGATTAAATGTACAAGTGCACATTTAGTACCTTTCACTGAATATTTAATAGTAGTTATTATGAAATTGTGTCTCACTAATGAGATTGAGGTTTGTCTTCAACCATAGAAACCAAAAAACGTTATTGTTAAAAATATTATCAACAGATAAGGCATCTCAGAAAATTTTATTTATCTCAAAATCTTTTTATGAGAAACTAAGTAGTATTCCATTGTATGGAAGTATTATAGGTTTTTTTCAGTTAGTATTCTATTGTTGAATGTATAGCTTTTAGTTTTTCCTATTACAAATACTACTACAGGTACATTTTATAATGATACATTTGCATATGCTGTGACTAGTCTAGAAGTGGAATAATTTGATCAAAGGATTACTTATCAGAAATTTTAGAATTGTGGGGCCAGCCAAATAGCTCAGCAGATTAAAGCGTCTGCAAGCAGGCACAGGTCCCAGGGATTTGATCCTTAAGGCCTGCTGTGCCAGCCCTGCCCCTGGGGCGCACTGAAAGGAAATTGAGATGGGGTGTGGTGGTGCAAGCCTGTAATCCCAGCTCTTGGGAGGCTGTAAATAGGTGGATCACTACCAGTCTGATCTAGTAGTGAGACCCTGAACACCCTGTAGACCCTACCCTAAAATAAAAAATAAAAATAAAAAAAATTTAGAATTGTGCATTATTTGTCAAATAGTTCTCCAGAAAACATTCTGATTTATATTTCCCAAAACAGCTTATAGACTGTTGAAGCTTTTGTTTTCAGATTTGCAAAACACTGGTTGAGGCAATCATAGAAACTATTGTAAAGATCTGTCCTGTTCAAAAGTGCAAAGAATTTCCACCGGGTCAGTTTAATTTGGTTTTGAATTTAGACATGGAACTAGAAATATTTTTTTATGTGTAATGACTTAGTTCTCCAAAAATAAAAAAATTTTTACTATATGTCAAAATGTATAAAGAAAATAGGATCACGTCTAACTACCAGAGATAGTAATTGCCTTTATTTGAATGTTTGCATCAATTATTTTATTATATGTATTTTAGTATTTTATTTTAAAAATAGCGGTCACAGTTTATGTAGTTCTTTTTCACCAAACATTGAACATTTTCTGGCATTTTAATATATTTTTAAAACCATGAAATAATACCTAACTCTTCAGGAACTTCCTGAATATCTCTTTTCTGCTACCTGATCATTTCCTTTCCAAAGTTCTGAAGAGAAATTAGCGAAATGTTTTTCTTTTTAAATTTTTTTTATTTTTATGTATCTGGTACAGAGTCACTAAATAGCTGGGACTCATAGTGATCCCCCTGTTTCAGCCTCCCCAATGTGGGGATTACAGGTATGCACTGCCATGCCTGCTGTTGGTAGCTGGCTCGGTGCTCCTGGAGCAGGGCCTGCATGGCATGCGGTACCGGGGAGTGGACCCAGGTCCTTGCACTTGCCTAGGCAGGTGCTTAGACTGCTGAGCTATCTCTGTGGCCCAAGTGAGCAAAATATTTGACACCTATCATCATTTTGAGTTCTAGGATATATGTGAGCCATCCTGTGAAGCAGTGTAAGAATTATAATTCAAGAATATGAACAGTAGTTTGATCATGCTCACAGGGAACACTGGTCTGCCTGCTGCCCGAGTTGTCTTGAACTATAAGACAACCTGAGAGACTTTCTTGTTTGGAAGTCTTTCCAAAATAAGCAGAAATGCTTTGCTTCTTCCTTTCCCATCTCCTGCTGCAAATGCCTTATGCAGAGGATTGTATCTTGTTTTCGGGTGATTTTCCTTAGGCAAGTCCAAGGTCTTTATTGTGTCACACACACATACACATGCACATATGCATGCACACAGTTTGACCTTGGAAGTGCATTTGCTCTAGGATAGGGTGATCCTTTGGTCTGCAGCTGCTGTAGCAAAGCTGACTCCACAATGTTCCTGCATCATACCAGAAGGCCTTCATTTGTACATCTATGATCTTTCTCTTTAGAAACGCATTCCTGTAACAATTTCTGTGCAAGAAAACCAGAGAAAAGAGCTTCCAGATGCTTAGGTTAATCTGCACTTTGACTGGAGTCCTTGCTGTAAATACAGTCCTGGACCCTGACCCCAGAGAGATGGTCTGAGCCAGGATTTCTCAGGTCAGATATAGGAAAAAGGCAAGGATCTTCAGACAGGAGCAAGCAGGTGTCACAGCTGCAAGGACAGACCACTTGCCCCTTGTACTTAGTGGGAAAGGTTGAGACAGTAGATGCTTCCAGGACTCCTGCTCCTCTGAAGTCACACTGAATGAAAAAAGAAGAGAAACACAACAGAAATCTTATTTATATTTCTAAAATAATTTTTTTCTGCTCTCATATTCTGCTGACAAGGAACAGAACATTACTGTTTTGTACAATGAAGCATCCTTACATTAGGAATTAAGGGGCCTGCCAAATACCTCAGCAGATTAAAGCGCCTGCTTAGGCAGATGCTGGAGCCAGGATGATCCATTGGCCTGCCCTGCCTTGCCAGCCCCGCCCCCGGAGCCCGCTGAGACACAATTGAGACTGGGTGTAGTGGTGTGTGCCAGTAACCCCAGCACTTGGGAAGCTGTAAACAGGAGGGTCACTGTGAGTCCTATCTACGACCCAGAAATTTGAAACCTGGCAACTTGGTCATACTAAATATGGCAGGATCCAACTTTCTCAAGTTTAAATTTTTTCTTTTTTTTTTTTTAATTTTTTTTTTGAGAAATAAATATGAATGAGACAGTTTCACAGCTGATTAACATGACAGTTTTGATAGTCGATACACTGTTATCTTTTTGTTATCTTTTTAGTGGTTATCCATAGTACAAGAACCAGACAGGATATTCTGTCCAAACACTTTTAGTACACCTCTTTCTTCTCATTGAATTAAGTGAAAGTAGCTGTAAATTTATCATATTTTGTATATATAAATACAAGATGATTTTTCCTTTGTATCCTTTTTTTTTTTTTTTTGTCCTGTCAGAGGTGAATATGCTGTTGGCATCTAAATACTATAGGTGTTTGAATTCAATTAAACAATATAACACTGTCTAGCAGTCTATAATATTAGTGGGTTATCCTCAGAAGTTATTGACTTGAGCTTTTACAGCTCATCGTATTAATACGCATTTACTTTATATACCTCATTTTTATACTTTTCTGCTGGATGGTTAAGACCAAGATAAAGCAGGACCTATATACCAAGAAATGTAACTTTTGTATCTGATAAGGTCAGCCAAGTACTCTCAGGATTTATCCTGTAGCCCTGTACCGCCCTTTGTACATCCTTTTGTCAGTGTCTGACATGAAGATGAGTCACGGCCATTGCTTGACCAATTTGCTCTCTGTGAAAGC